TAATGAGCACACTAGGTCCCTATTGCATATGCAAGAATCATGTCACCTAGTGGCACTCGATAACCGCTTAGCCAAAGGTTTCCCCTCTTTATAATATGGCAATTGATCCTGAATATGATCACACTCTCTATAGTGTCTTGGTCACCAAAACAAAAACCTATTTAATACATTTGCCTTGATTAACACTTGGTTTTTGTTTTTCTCTTTATTCTTTTCCAAGTTGGAGCTCTTGATCTTCAAGTTTGGCCACCACCATCACTATGACCATCATCTAACTCCACCACTTGGTGTGTACAACCCTGTCTTAATCACAACACTTAAGGACAAGGGTTAGTACATTAGGTTTCATCAATTATCCAAAACCAAACTAGGGGTTTTAGCAAGACAGGATGTATGATTTGTTTATCATGCTAAAATGCAACTGCTCTATGCCATGCTTAAAAAGATTGAAGTTGCTCCTATGAAAGAAATATTCAAACACTAGTTAGAATTATTCAAGGCTTCTACATCTATATCATGCACCTCCCTTGTAACACGTATTGCCAGTAGTATTGGTGCATTGGACGGACAAGATGTGACATACATCTCTACGCCACGCATCATTATTAATGAGCATTACTTGATGCAAGGGCATCATCTAAACAATAATGCTGTAGGAGACCTTGTATACTTCTTCCTGGGGCATACAAACGAAATTCCACTACCTAACTCAGAACTTCGTTTGTATAATTCCTCAGAGCTAACCTTCCCTCTTGTCCGACAAGAGGAAGCACACAGGAGTTCTGCTTCTGGCATGATAACATGGAGTAGGGCTAGGAACGAAGGAGGCAACTCTGAACAGCCACAGCCGATGCCTTCACCAGCTGTACCACAGGCGTTCCATGCAGAGTGGTTCCCAACTAGGCAAGTACCAGGGTTCACACCCACATACCACCCCAGTTGGGACCATGCTCCGCGACCCCATGAGGCTTGAGGGTCGGGATGGCAAGAGGCCGATAACGCGGTATGGACGAGACACTCGTCCGACTCCGATGGACTACCACTACCCGTCCATCCACGACAGTTTGTTTTAGACCGTCATGAGTTGGACGGCATCAATACCTGACTCGGAGGATTGGAGATACACACAGGTGAGATCCAAAACACGTTTAACACTCACGTGCAGGATTCAGCTCAGTGGCAGCTTTAGCAACAGCAACAGTTCGCGCAAATTAACGCACTGCTGAAGCAACAGCACGATCAACAGGTGGCCTATTGACGGTCCATGGGATACAATCCTGGATCATAGGCCTTGAGCTAGCTTGGGGAAGGACCCCCGTAGAGATAACTTGTATCTTTTATTTTTTACATTTTATTTTCTATATTTATTTAATTATTAGCAATTAAAAAAATCTAAAAATTAAAAAATACCAAAAAATGAATTTCACTCTTCATATGTATTTTAAGAATGTTTAGTTTCTCCTAAAGTTGAAATGATAAATAGTTGCTCTGTCTATAATTTACTGTGCCTAGATTGTAACTTAGTATTCCCCAAGATTTAAGTTTGTTGGCTAAAAATATCTCATCTAAAACTTGTGGGTTGCAAATGCATGCTCCTTTTCTAAATTGTTGCGAGTTATGATATGGTACAAATAGAATTTGCTATGATTTTGTTATAAAAGAAACTTGACATCTGGAGTTTTTAATTTCAAAAATACTAAAATGAAAAGTTCCTCAATGATTATGATTACCTACCAAAGCCATATGATAAAATTCAAAATACAAAACTTTAGTCATATGCTACTTGTTATTGCATTGAGCTTTGTCAAATTGTTTATGATCCTTGTTGAGATTCTCGTCATGCACCCATAATCAAGATTCACGTACACCCACAAATAAATTACTGACTCTTACACTGAGAGTTATACAAATACATGTTTTCTCGTCCACTAAAATAAATACTCCATCCACTTTTTCATGAGTCTCTCTCTAAAGTTTTCATGTGCCAAAAAAAAAGTATGGGCTATGCTAAAAAAAGAAACAAAGAAAGAAAAAGAAAAATACCCATGCTAAAAAACATGAGAAAAAAATACATGCCAAAGAGCATGAAGAAAAGAAAAGAAAAAGAAAGAAAGAAATAAGATAGCCCATACTTTCAAATAAAAGGCATCCTTCCAAAAGAGAGAGTCATGATCAAAGAAGTACAAAAAAATATTTTAGAATTAGGAAAATTATAAAAAAAAATTCCACACACTCGCACGTCTTGATCAAAGTGTATGACTTGCATCTCCTTGGATCTAGTTTTTGACTTAGCAAAATATGTGATGCAAGTATGCCTCGGTTTCATACCTACCCAAAACTCCATCAAAGAACCTTTAGTGGTAGGATGAAAAGAAGGCAAAATATCAAAATGCCTTGGTGAGGTTTTATACACACTGAGCAATCGAGTGAATCATTTGAGAAACTTACTTTTATTTGCAGAACTCATAAAACCTCCGGATAGAAGGTTGATCAAGGAATGAATGACTGGTAATTCTGTTATAACCGTTCTATCTTACAGCTGTCCAAGAAATTGGAAAAGCTACAAGCCCCATAGGGATCCAGGTAAAGGGTGGATAAAAATGCCAACTTATTTAAATTAAGGAAAATACTTTGATATAGGCATGACACTTATGAATTATATTCGGCATACTAGCAACTCTTAATCAACAACCAATAACTTAGCTATTTGCTCGGGATGAGCAAAAGTTAAGCTTGGGGGATTTTGTTGGCGGTCCTTAACGATCAAATCCGACCGCCAATTAAGATCCAAAACAGGAGAAATAAACAAACTTATGACACATAGCATTTACTATTAACATATTTTCACATGTACTAGAGACTCAGTGTTTTACAGGATATGTACATGAAAAGCATGGGAAATATGATCAAAAGGCGCAACCAGGCAAAGCGTAAAGCAGAAACGCGCAAAGAAACAAGAGAGAGCCCATTCAACTACCAAATCTGGGCCAAGCACCGGCGTAGGAGTGGCCTAGGCCCACTCAGAAACCGACCACGTGAAGGTGGTGGTGAATGGGCCGGCCCATGGGTGCGGGCGCACCGCCCCCAATATCGCCTGGCCCTACCTCACTCTGGTGGTTCATCAATGCCATGCAAAGGCGGTTTAGTATGGTTTCCTATTTTATCTCACCTAAACCGACCACAAACATGCATAAGTAGGAGGGTGGAGTTCTCCCACAAGACACAACATTTGGAGCCTCTACACCTCACGCCACTCTTGTATTCTTTTTACTTTAGTTGTCTTTTGTGAGCAAGGAAAGAGCTACCTTGGAGAGCTTGGCTCCTTGGAAGAAAGGAATCTTGGTATGAATAATATGAAGAATTCTTCCATAGTCTTGCTCTCATTTTATCAATATAGTTGTGCTCATGAACTAGAGTATAGTTTTCATGTTATGACCTCAACATATGAACTAGCATATAGTTTCTATGTTAGGAACTTAACATGTAAAACATTATGCTTAATCATTCATATAACTTATATGATTAGAATTAGAGCTAAGTTGGGGTGGCGATTCATCGTTCCTTTGGGTTTGCCCATGTCATATGCTTGTCGATCGTAGGGTCGGAGTCCCGGGGGATATGGGTAGTTTCTTTGTACACGGGCATAGTGCCTGGGTGCACGGGAACCTTTGGATATGACGGTACTCCACGATTAAGGGGTAGGCGGCAGGCAGTGACAGCCCTGTCCGTCCCTTGTAATCCCCTCGGTCCGGGTATTTATGTAGGAGTTCGTAAAGCTTCCCATGCGCTGGCAGACCAGTGTCCGGAGGTCTTCCCGTCCATCTTACACTTAGGTCTAGCTCTAACCATGTAGTTTGTATGATCATCAACTATTCTTTGTATGACTATATTAAAACAAGCCTGCTGCACTTAGAAATATTCTTTTATTCTTTGTTTCTTTTTTATCCTTGAGGTTGGCCCATGATTTTAATGGTCTTTAGCATATTACCCCTAAATGTTATCTTCAAAAGGGCATTAATAGGGAATAACCTGCTAGAATGGAATAATCAGCTGGTTGCATGACTTGTGGATGTTGAATATTATAGGATGAAAAAGGTACTATTACTTGGTGAATAAATAAGGGCAGTTCTTTAACAGTTTGGTCAATTTATCGTAATTAATGTTGCCATCAAGATCTAACAAGAAATTAAATTTGGAAGATTGAAGTTCCCTTGAAAGTTAAAATTTTTATGTGGTTTCTCAAAAAGAGGAGATAATAATGAAAGATAACTTAGCTAGAAGGAATTGGCATAGAGAGACTTAGTGTTGTTTGTGTAACTTGGAGACTATTCAACATCTCTTCTTTGAGTACCATTATGCTAAATTTCTTTGGCGGGCATTAGATATTGTGTTTGGTATTACATCCCCTTCAAATGTGGAGAATTTATTTGGTAGTTGGTATAAATAGGGAGGCAGCAAAACAAATTTTTTTATTACTAACAGGGCAGTAGCTTTCTGTTGATCAAATTGGCTATCAAGAAATAATGTCGTGTTTGATGAATGTAAACCTAAAACTTTTTTATAGAGTTAGTTGCAACGCAGTGATGCCGCGAAGTCACTCATCATTCTTGCATGTTCTAACTTTCAGTCGATGGCAATGATATTTTTCGCTCCCCATTTTTGCGTGCTCAGTAAAACAATATACATCTACTTTGGCTGCAAAATAATTTCATAGTATATTATAATTACTATATCATGTTTCATAAAAATACTTGTGTTGCTTTTCTTTGTTAATAAGGTTGTGTTGCTTCGGAGATAGTGACACTGACACCCGCAAAACCGAAAGAAGTATGTAGTACATACAAAAGCAAAACAGAGAGATGCAGGTCATCATAGAAAACCACCTTTATTCGCTTTACATACCGCAAACGAAATTACTGACACAAAGCACAAACACAAGATGAACCAAACGTAACTTCCACCGTGAACACTGGTTGGTGATACTCTGCACCTATGTAACTTCACCAGCCACTGTTGTGCGGCTCCAGTGCTGCCGTCCTGGCACAGGGGTGCACCCTCCCGCTCGCCCATGAGCCGCCGCCGCCGCCGGCCTTGTCTTCAACCTTATTAGGCCTCCTGTTATTATCCTCCTCTCCCTCGCCCACGTCCTCATTGGACTTCTTCTCTTTCTCTTGAGCCTTTAGGTTCCTCATCCTGCATCTCTCCTGCTGCACGTGGATCTGCGCGTAGCTGAAACCCATGGAAGCCATCTTGGATCTGAAACCGTGCGCGGAGCGAGATAGAGCAGGCTGGTGTTTCCAGCTTGTTTGTAGATGCTGCTGTGTCGATATAGATGTGTATTTATAGGTGGGGTGTTGGGATTATCGGGGGTGGGCAGTGGGGCAGTGGGGCAGTGGGCACCATACCATGGATTTCTGCTCTTGTTGATATCTGTGGGCTTATCTTCTCCAATGGCGCCCGTTACGTGTCACAAGTGGGACAGTTTGGAGGCTGCAATAACTGTCCGAAAATGAGAAGCATGCTAGCTTGTGGGGCCGTGGCTGGATGAAGCATACCCGTGGGCAAAGCATGTGGTTTTTGGTCAAGGACTGCAACATGTCTACATCAGCCTAACCTGGTTCGTGGTGATCGTGACTCATCACTTTTTTCTTGCAAGTTTATCACCCATAACGAAATATTGGTGCCACTAATGCAAGATATAATTTTCTGAAATAAGCATCCAACTTGCTAAAGACATTCGGTTGTGTGATTATTAAAGCTGATGTGTATATGCTGGGGCTCTCGGCAAAGCCCTCAAGCCATTTTCCTACGCGCCCCTCCTCAATTTGACGCGCTGCCCTCCTTGGCGGCGAGGCCCCAATGCTTCCCGGGCAGCGAGGGCTCCCTTCCTCTATCGATGAGGGGACTCATCGATCGGCGGCTCCCTTCCCTTGAGGGACTCACGAATGCAGTTGCAGACATGGCCAAGTTTGTCTATGTCGAGGAAGAAGAAAAGAAAGAGGATGATAACCGGCTCCTGCATGTCATTCTTTACTAGAATGAATTTGAGGACCTTGATGTGAGGTCTTCTGCTAGAGCAGAGGGAGCCCTCAAACCAAAAGTAGGGTCTTAATTTCAGGGCTCTTGCTGGAATTGCTCTAATTAAATATTCTCTCCGTTTCAAATTATAAGTCATTTTGATTTTTTTTTATATTTAATTTTGTTATGTATGTCGATATAACGTAAGTCTAGATAGATAGTAAAATCTATGTACAAACAAAGTTAAAGTAACTTATAATTTGGAACAGAGGGAGTACGAGGAAAAAATAAATGATTTTAAACATATACACCCGTCTAATTAAGAAGATAAGGCTAACTAAGAAAATTTTGTCCAATCTAATTAAGGATGCAAAAGAAAACAATTTCCACATTATAAATTAAAAGAATCTGACATAATTGTATTTCTCTCCATGATACATTAATCATACATCCACTACATAATAATCGGTCATTTTTTATTGACACAATATAAGTTACGGTCACTTACGACCTATCACTAATTTGTGGTTAGTGATAGGTCATTTTTTAGGATTTAGGGTTTAGGGCCTAGAAACGACCCTTTATAGATTTTAAGCAATGGTCACTTACGATATAAGCGACCTAAAGGCCATGTAACAGGAGTCGTTCCTTACGTGGCCTTTAGGTTGGCACACGATAACAGTCCAGTTGCTTTTGATGGGTAAAAAGGAGATATTTATGTGCTTCCACTTGACTCGGGATCACCTTATCTACTCGATTTTTCATCTTGAAATCACACCCGAGTCTTGATCCACTCCAACAAAAACTTTGCCTTAGATCTACTATCGCATCTATCCTCCACAATGAGCGCCACACTATCTACCCTCTTCCCAAGCATTTTCTGCTAGCTTGTAACGACCTCCTTCCTAAGCACCCACCGCTAGCCTCCTATTTCCCTCCAAGTCTAAATCCTCTTCGTTCTAGGGGAAATTCTTATAATCCAACCACTAGGTTATGCTAATTTAGCTATTCACCTCTACCATACTATTTTAAAATAATAGGTGTGAAACCAACACCACCTATAATCTTTGGGTATAATCTACAAATCTATATAGATCTCATTTTGTTTATCTTGAATCTAGATTCTTAAATTATTATCTAGAGTCCAGATATCACTAAAATGTACCCAAGATACCTCAATGTATGAACAATAGCCCAAATAGAATAGGGTACACCAAGCGGGCTAGACAAGAAGCCCAAACCAAACGTGATACACCATCTATTTGTTAGACAAGACATAGCAAGATGTACTTAGAAACCAACTATTTTCTTGTAATAAACTAGGAAACCCACACTGTGTCGTGTAATTCTAAAAAAATGAGAAAACACACGTGTAAACCGATCAGGATTGTATCTATAACCCCAGACAAGACATAGTAAGATGTACTTAGAAACCAACTATTTTCTTGTAATGAACTAGGAAACCCACATTGTGATGTGTAATTCTAAATAAAACGAGGAAATCCACGTGTAAACCGATCGGACTGTATCTATGACCCCAACCTTTGGACTATATAACGAGGGGTGGGGAGCTCCAGACCCATATCCAGAACAAAAGTTCATAGCAACCCTAGGCTACTAGTCATCAGTGCGCCTGTAAAACCCGAGCATACCAAATAAGAGATCTACTTCACTGGACGAAATATACAAGAGATCTACTCTCAGAGTGGACGTAGGGTATCTCATACCTGAACCGGTATAATCTGTGTTTTGTGTGCTACTCTTCTGATTCTCTGTGCACGATATGTTGATCCGCATTGCCGGAGCCAATACCTCGACCACCATATTTTCATATCTTTAGGGGAAAAAATAGTCCCATAGTAGCTTTGACCGATTTAGGTGTGGTATTTTGTATCTACACTTGTATATACTGCCAACCCCATCTAGGGTAGAAAGGTACAGTGAAATTATCACAAGGCAAATGGTTTAGAGCCAATGAGCATAGACAACGTCCTGTCGAATTTTTGATGCGGATGTACAATGTCCTCTTCCATCTCTCTCAGCTCCTCAAGAAGCAAAGGGATAATATTTTGCTTCTTTAAATGGTGTGGATTTTGTCGCCCCATGGTACCTTGGAACAGTGTCAGAATATTGCAAAAGCATATGGCCGGGAGAGAACGGCCTCCATTTGGGGGTCTGGGGGCCAAGATCAGACAGGAAGATCAATGATTCTATAATTATTTGCACTGCGGTCAAAAATAATGATTCGCTATAAAGTTGAATTAAACGTCAGTAATGTGTTAGCCTTTAGCCGTGTTGGCTGCAGGTCAGCATGAGCAGCTTGTCAGCTTCTGCTCGCGGTCCGTAGTTCCCTTGTACAAGTGTACCAAGGAGAAAGGAGTGAGCGAGCCAGACTTGTTAGACATCATGCTCATATATATGTCTGCATCAACTCAGATTTATGAGGTTTTCGACTTTGAGTCATATAATGCAAACGGGCTTGTCGGCAAACATGCAAATGGACTTAATTTTTACAACTATCTCGCTAGCTAGAAAAAGCAAGCCGACGCCGCTAGCTATCTGTCTCGTTGTCCTGATTCCCGCTCTCCGCTCCTCCTTCCCGCGCAGTTTCCCCTTCCCTGTGCGACTCCAGGCTTTGCCGTGCTCTCTGTGCGTCCACGGAGTCTGAGTCTCGATACTTTGTGCTGCTGCTGCTGGCTGCCGCTATTATGGCAAAATTAATGGAGCTCGGTGGGGAAGTGACGAGGAGCAGAGATGGCAGCCGCTGGTAACTGAAAAGATAACGAGCGATCCAATCCGATGACGTGGTAGTAGTTTTAAAAATATAGAGAACCGAAAATTTAGACAGGCTCTTGGGTTACTCTAGTTTTTTTTTGGGTGTTTTATTTTAGACAATGGCTAAATTATGAATTTTAGCATCTAATTTTACATAATCTCTTCGAGTTGCTCTAAGGGGTCGTTTATTAGCAAGGTGAAACGGTTCTGATACTTCTTTAGAATGCAAGAATGGTTGCCAAACGAATTTAGACTGAGTGTTTCATTCCAGAATCTAAGAGAAATGATTCTCCTTTTTACATTACGCACATGAAACGGCTCAGCCCTGGTTTCGACCGGTTCAGTTTCTAGCCTCTATGTGTGCGCTGGTGATTGTATTTTTTCGATTAATATTTTTAAGTGGAACTAGTTAAAATGAGTTTTATTTAAATTGTTCTCCACCTATAAAAAGTTTCAATTCTTTCAAGCATATTTCAATTTATATTATTTTTTATTTTCAAAACATTTTTTGTCAAATCAGAGCCAGTTTCAATTCTTTCAAGCATATTTCAATTTATATTATTTTTTATTTTAAAAACATTTTTGTCAAATCAGAGCCAGTTTCAATTCTTTCAAGCATATTTCAATTTATATTAGCCTGACAGCCAAACGGCTTCATAAAGGAATTCCCCAGAATAGTTCTTCATTGTTGGTTCAATAACCCTTCACATGATTTTCACATGAAAAACCCACACTTCGTGGCCGCCGGCGCTTGAACACATGATCTAAGGTTCCGCGCATTCATCCCGTAACCACTCCACCCATAAGACAATTGTATCCATTTAGGATATTTGCTCTCCCCATTTTATATTCATCTGATTTTTAAATGAGTATTTGGGACCCTAAGCGAATTCAAATGAAAAAGTTGTCAACTACGAAGTTTTATAACTTTCTGAAATCTACAACTTTTATTTTTGTCATTTCTCCATCCGATGTTGTTTGAATTTTTCTTGGATAGATGATTTCAAATGAAAGCATTGTCAACTACAAAGTTGTACAACTTTTCGAGATATACAACTTTTGTTTTGATCGTTTCTTCATCTGAGGTCGTTTGAAAATTCGAATTCATATGTGAGAAATTCAAACATAATTTTGTCAGATAGATTATTTCAAATTAAAAAGTTGTCAACTACAAAGTTGCATAACTTTTCGAGATCTAGAACTTTTGTTTTGGTCATTTTCTACATCCGAGATTCTTCCCTATCACTACCACTACACTACACACTCACTTGTGACATAGAGCACATGGAATCCTTTGGTAGTAACTTCTATAACATCTTATGAATTAAATATTTCGAAACAAAACGACTTCAAATAAAAAAGTTATGAACTACAAGGTTGTAGATCTTGTCGAGTTGCAACTTTGGTATAAAGTTCGTCTTCATCAGATATCATACTAGAAAGTAATGAAGTTTTT